GTGAGATGGCTGTTAGGAGGTTTGGTATGACTCGCGAAGATACATGGAGTTAGACCAAGACAGGACAGATCGGATTACGATCCGCAATTTGCAATCGTGCTAATGTATGAATCGTATGCCAACTCGCAAAATATCATATGCTAGTTTGCTTTGAGTGTAGCCAGAACAGATGTGAATGGGCCAACACCGTGATGCCGTTACACGAGTAGAGCTAGGTTCTCGTGCATGCGTTTGGATGGCTACTGCCGATATGATAATCGTGTGTTTGAACGAGAATGTAGGTTAAATATGATATAAACAGACATTCAGTCTACTGCGCTTGTTGCATACACCTATTTAGCCATTTAGACTGCGAATTGTTGTATCAGCACTCGACTCTCAATGCGACAACATTGCAGTATATCTCACCTCAGCATTGCAAAAGGGTTTTTCAGAAGATCGATATCCTCGCCTAACAAATGGCACTGAATATCGTTCAACAGTCTCCCAAACTGCTTGACTTCAGGTAGCCGTATTGCATCAATCTTGATATCCCGTAACGAGAGGCGTCGCACCTCTTCCACTTCAAGAATTCAGTATATCATGGTACCGTAACGCTTGGAGATGCACATAGCTCACCAGAATACATTGACGCAAAGGCATCTAGGATGACACGATCCTTGTCTAGGCAGGGCCTGAGCGCGAGAAGCATTGTGGCGACTGGAATCGCCCATCGACCAGGAAAACATCTTTCTGCGATAACGATGGCTCTGCGGACATCGGACTTTTTTGTCTGTTTAATGTTGACGGTTTCATTGAAAGGCCTCCGGAGCTCGATGACCCTTTTTGCCCATTGATCCCAAGAATCTTTACTCTCCAGCTCAGGCATGAGTTGAAACAAACCACTGCCTATCAAGTCCTGCATAGTCGCTTGGGAACATTTGCCCTCTATATCGAGATACCCTTGACTGAGGTATTCGCCAAAATAATATCCTATCGGCCTAAGCCGCAGCTGCTGTAAGTAGGCTAAGTTCGGTTGAACATAAGGATCCGAATAGCCCGAGAAAGCGTCTATGATCTCTAGATCTTTAACAAAGGCTGCCTTTGGCATATTTCGAGTGTCGATGATTAACAAGGCAATCTGTGAAGGATCGTATCCATCGGGATTACGGTGCCGCGCTCGGTGCAGACCGTACTGGAGAGCAAACAGCAAGGAACTAGTCCAACAGACTAGGTTACAGTCCACAGGATCATCGTAATTCCACCATCGCAGATGAACATTCAATATCTTGGCAGCCTCCTGTCGATTCCAAGTGAAAATATCTTGCGTAGCTCTGAACCCATTCTGTTTACAAGCCTCAGGGATGACACTGGAAAGAGATGTTTGTCCATAGCAGTTTGGTGTGTGGATTCGAAACAGGAATCTTGGGATATTTCCGTCTCGGAGAGAAGGCATCTGACTTAATCGGAAGGGGTCTGGCTGAAACAGGAGGGGCGATGATGTCGTCATAGCTACAAGAGTGAGATCTGCGCCTCACACCATCGTGATGAGGAAGGGTACGAGAGAAAACGAGATCTAAACGACAACGGTGTTTGAGCCTAGGCTTATCAAAAGTAATTGACCATGCATTAGTGGGAGGAAGTCGAATGCATTTTGCCATAAGTACGAAGATCAAGAGACGTCATACAATGTGCAACTACTTATACAACCTCGCTTTCAACACTAGTCTACCCCGCGGCAGCCAAGATCTTCGATTCGGGAAGCAACATAACCCCGCATCTTACCTTATTAATTACGGATCCGGTCAGAGTGTATGCAATCGCTGGAAGCTAGGCGTGATACCAATTGAGCCCTCTCTGACTTGTACGCTCGATATTTCAACAATTATAGGAGATAGCAAGGCAAATGCTACAGTGTTAGCTCCATGCTGTAGTCCTCAATGAAGTAAACTCTTTCGATCTTCTCTTAGGCCTCTAGCAAGTAGACCGTAGGTGCTAGAATCTCACATTTGTTTCTTATTAGTGGATATCACAGAGACTTAAATCGATTCTTGATCTTGTAAAGCCCGAGCTCAGCGCCGTCGCGATCTGAAGCCAGCTGCTCCACCCCGAGACCCCGGTCCCAGGCATCCAGATTTGTATTGCGCCACAGTGCTGGGTGTCGCTGCTGACGTGGCAGATGTTCATTGGACTATAGTCATGTCCCATGCAGCACCCAACTCATGCATTTGGTTCGTAAGAAATACCAACTTCCCCAAAAACCACACCCACGTGACGACACAGTCAAAGCAGTAGTACCAAGAGTTGAGTATCTGGACACGTAAACGCAGAGAATTTCGTTTATACTAATTCAGTTTCTTAGCACGGTGTTGTATCTGAACGTTCACAATAGAGCAACAAGTTGCTGCACAAGCGCACATGGCCAAAGGCAACCAATTAATAAGAGTGAGATATGGTCGATGACGCACTAGATCACTAAGCTAGCCGCACCACGAAGGTGGACACAACTCCTTATGATTGGTCGATATATGACGCGCCACGAACTCGATCCAATTGCATACCCTAAACCTCAAAGCCGGATGAAACCGGGCTTGACTAACTATCGCTGCGTAACTATACATACGGATTGTCACGAGAGACAACGAGCAGTAATCTGAGAACTTATAAAGAAGTTTGATTTGTGTGCTACGTACAGTACTCAAGTGTAAATACAAGACGTTGCGTGAAGAAAAGAAGCGGAGAGTTTCGCCAGAGAAAGATATATAGCGGAAGAAAGCTTATGTGATGTCATACCAATGTCGAGACAGTAGCATACTGTCGAGGATAGTACGTTGCACTGTTGCGATAGGAGCGTGCGGATTAGAAGCAGGAGCGTACAGGTTAAGAGTAGGAGCCCATGGGTCAGAGGTAGGAGTGTCAAGGGGACCACGGTGGTTACCGTGACAGTACCCCCCCTTACTCTAGAGCTCTCTCTCGAGTGAGTGATAGCAGTATTGTTCCTGATGTCGGGTTAAGTTAACATTGGCGGTTTTGGTTTTTCTGGGAACTGTTCGTGAAAGCGAACGAAGGTGTCGTTCTCTTTCAGCTCTTCGGCAGGTTCCCAAGAAAGTTCTTTATAGCCAACCCATTTCACGAGGTACTCGTTTCGCTTTCGTCGTTTATTGTAGCGGAGGTTCTCGACGCTCTCGACAAAATAATGTGGTTCGCCGTCTACGACGAATAGTTCAGGTGGCGGTACGTGCTATCCAGGCAGAAAATCTAATTTTGCCGCCGCAAGTCGGAGGAGGGATACATGAAATACTGGATGAATCTTCATCGTAGCGGGTGGGTCGAGTCGGTATACGTAAGAAGAGATCTTCTTGGCCACACGGTAAGGACCAAAGTTCTTCCAGTCAAGCTTTTTCGAGGCGCGTTGTGTTCTGATGTTGCGGGCGTCGAGCCAGACTTCGTCGCCGACCTCGTACGCTAGTGCTGGCAACCGTTTTCGGTTGGTATATTCTTGTTGCATAGCTTGTGCCCATATCATTTCTTCGCGGATGAACTCAGTCACATCGCGCATCTTCTCGATCATCTAATTTACTTCTCGAGCCTGTAAGGCTTAGTACGCAGGTCTCTTTATGCCGTAGGGCGGTTCAAACCCCATTCGGGGGTTCTGGCCGTAACAGGCCATCCTAGGGACACCCCAGTAGATTCGGATACAGTATTGTTGGCTTCGAACTGGGCGGTGGGCAACCAGCTTACCCAGTCATCCTGTCTGTAGTTTGTGTACGCGCGTAGCACTTGTTCCATGACGGCGTTTGCATTCTCGGTTTGACCGTCAGTTTCAGGATGAAATCCTGTAGAGAAGCGCGGGTCGATCTTCAGTTGTTTGCACAATTCGTCGTAAAAAGCGGAGACGAACTGCCTGCCTCGGTCAGAAATAATTGTGTCTGGGAGGCCGTGGTTGCACCACACGTAGCGGAGGAACATTCGCGCGACGTCTATGGCTTCCATCTTGGTACAAGGGATCATATAACGGTATTTTGTTAACCGGTCAACGACTACCATGATGTTTTTATACCCTTCAGATTCAGGGAGATCGACAACGAAGTCGATAGAGATGTCTTGCCATCTCCGTTCAGGTACAGGCAGCGGTTTCAGAAGGCCGTGGCACTTCTCGCGAGAAGCTTTCGAACGGCGACAGATATGGCAGCAGCTGACGTATCGACGAATTGTGTCGAACATGCGGGCCAGTAGTACTCACGTTGGACGAGCTCGATTGTTTTGCCACGGCCAGGATGGCCACTACACGCGGAGTCATGTGCTGCGCGGAGGATCTTCATCTTGAGCTCATCATTGTCAGGTATAACGAGCCGGTCGTGATAGTACAAGCGTCCTCCTCTAGCTTCGCATTCGCTCAAGGTCAGGATCTTCGACCGTCGCACACCATCTTTAAGCAGTTGCAAGGTTTCCTTGACCAGCGGGTCGAGTGGGTCGGCTTCGTACTCATCCTCAATGATCTGATAGATGGAGCGATCTGTTTTTGTGAGGCTGATTTCCACTGGCGTCTCAAACAGTTCAGGTCTCAGTAGCGTCTGTTTTGGGCTCATACATGGGCAAAATGGTCGGTTATTCCGGTTAACCGGTTGGTCGGCGTTTTCGGTCGGTCTCGGTCGACCGGTTTAATTAATATAATTAAATCGGTTAACATGGTTGGTGTTGGTTGGCTTTGCACTAAGTGCGTAAAGGGAAATAACGATAACTAGGAATGCATTCTGTTCGGTGGTTCTGATTGATTCTCGTGCGAAGGGGAACTATGGAAGAGCTAGATATAGGAGGTCTGGTCTGAGCGCTGCTCGGACGCCGCGATCAGTGCGCCTGTCCGCGTGACTGATATCAGTGCGCCTGCTCGCGTGACCGAGATTAGTGCGGCCGATCGCGTGGCTGAGATATCGTTGATATCTGTGATCCGACACTGGAAGTCTTTTCTTTCTAGATAGCGAGTAGCTCTGCATATATCAGTAGTAACTGTGTGTGCAGTATTAAGTCTCAGAGCTTGTTGGCCTCTGTACCCATCCATCCACTCGGGCTGTCAGCTCATTGTTGTCGATGAAGCGTTCAAGGGCGCGGTTTGGCGATGCCTTAGTGAAGGCGTCTGCAGGATTGTCTTCGCCATTGATCCAGCGGATCTCCGTGATCTCGCGACGCTCATATGATTGGCGCAGCGCCATGATATCGATCATAAGGCGCTTCTCCTTCGTCGTCCCAAGCTTTACTAGGCACTCGTACAAGGAGTACGAGTCTGTACAGATAACTAAGGGAATTGCAGGTAGTCCAAGTCGTTCTGTAACTATCCTTAGCGTGGTTGCAACCGCAATGCCTATGTCAAAGCCGTTGACCATGCCGTAGATCTCTGAGGCCAGTACGCTCCGTGTGATGCGCTTGCACTTCGTAGAGCTGTGGTGGATCACGTTGCCCTGTATTGTGAAGGTGTTGGCGTCAATAGACTCGTTAACGAGCATAAGGACAAAGCCTAGCTGTGAGCTAAGGTCCTTGTTGTTGGCAAAGGAGCCATCTACAAAGACCATTAACTTAGCCTCCATGAGATTGACAGTGACGTAGCGCAGGCCACGATCGAGATTCTCCATCTGCCATTTCAGGCGTTTGTTGAGTGCCTTGATGTCCTCGTCTGATGGTTGCTGAGCTTGAGCCGCGACGGATAGGTCAAATGATGCCTCTGGTTGGCACGTTGATGCGATGTACGCTCCGCGGGCGCGCTGCTCTGTGTACTGTTGCGCGCGGTCCGGTGCCTTAACATCGACAAGCCTTATCCTTCCTCCTTGCCCTTTCTGCCTGAGGTTTAAGGCTTGGCTAGCGTCTATCGTAAGTGTACATCCGTCAAAGTCTAATTGCACGTCTAGTGTCAGTCTTGCTTTTGGCTTTGACCTGAATTCTGCCTTCTGGATCTTCTTCTCTTCAAGTGACGAGAACGCTGGTGTCCCGAGCATGAGAGTGTCGTCTGTCTGCATGCCAACGATGCCGAAGATGTCTGCGTCGTCGCTGTTCGTGATCAACAGGCATGGGTCGTATGTAGATGTTGACATGTCCAGTTCCTTGCAGTGATGCCCGTGGTACGTTGTCCACCAGTGGACTCCTGCCTCAGCGATTCCATACAGCGGCTTGATCACATGGAGTAGCGTGCCTCTTGGGTATCGATGTACCAGCTCCGTAGGAAGGTGTGCAAGTATCGTCCTCTTCAGTGTTGTCTGAGCCTGTGGGTATGCCTGCGTAATATCACGTAGCTCAACGCTCATGCCGCTTTGTACTAGCCCAGGCGCCAGCGACATGATCAGGCGCTGGCTACATCGCTGGATGGTTGGCGACTGCGTCAAGATAGTCTCCTTGCCATGGTCTTGGTAGCCTTGAATGACCAGACGGGATTTCTCATAAGGTTTAGTTGTCTTTCCCTTGACCTCACGTACTAGGCGTGACTTGAAGATCCGGATCTTGCTGTGTAGCCTCTCGTCGTATTGCTCAAATTTGAAGACTCCACGACCTACGAGGTCGCTGATCTCTTGGTCATCAGACGCTTCAAAGGGGGCGCCTGCGGTTGTGATCACTCCATCGGTACGTAGCTTGATAGCTAGCTCAAGATCGTCCTGCTCCTTCTTGGTGATGTACGCGTGCCCCTTGCGCTTGTTCTTTGATCCTGGAGGGCGGCCTCTCCTGCGTGGTTGCGCTGCCGGAGGTACTGCTATCGGCTCGTGCGGCTCATTCGGCTCATTCGGCGCGTGTGGCGTATCAGGGTCGCTCCACAGGTGGTCTGGTCTGTAGTATGGCTTAACGACAGTTGATCTGAATGTCGCTGGACCATTAACCATGTCGACAGTGATGTTGTGGCCATCTGTACTGGCGATCTTGTACGGGCCATTCCAGCCATCACTCTCTCTCCATACTAAGACTTCGCTCTGGAGTGGGAGCGCGAGCATGTCTGCAGTGGCTGGTCCATTGCGGGTGTTCAAGGCGTCTGCAACTTGGCGCTCTGCAGTGAGTTTGCGCAGGGCTTTCGTCGCCTTTTGAATAGCCTCGCTGCGTTTGACCATTGATGGTGATGGCGGTGACTCTGCAGTCATTCGTGGGTACGCTCCAAAGACTAGTAGCGTCGGGACTAGTCCATCAGGGCCAGCAGTATCGTTAACAGCCTTCAGAGCCATCTGGAGAATCGCGTCGTCGGACATAGTGTCAGTGAGTTCTGCATGAAGTATGTCCCATGCCCGGCGTAGAGGGGCATGGTACCTCTCAGTTTTGCCGATAGACCAGTGCGCCTCCGTAGGTACTTGCTTGCATGTGACTCCCATGATCTTTGCTTCTGCGCGGAACTCTGCGCTCGCGAAGTTAGTACCTGCATCATGCGTGATGATGTCGGGTGGTCCCTGGTAGGTGTCGATCCATAGTATCCGCAGTGCTTGCCATGTTTCTTTAGCTGAGATAGCGCTGAGGAACCTCGCGCCTTGAAACGCTGTTGAGGAATCGACCACATGCAGTACAGGTTTGTTACTCAAGTACATCACGTCCACTAGGATCTCATAGTTGAAGTGGTGATCATCCTTGAGAGTGAATTTAAATCGGCGCGGCGCGGAGCTGTGGAGCTGGCAGTGGTGGCAGAACTTAGTGACTTCTTCTAGGGTTCTTTCTTCGAAGTCGTTATGGCCAGCATCCTTTAAGAGCTTAATAAGTCGCGTGACAGCTGGGTGTCCAAATCTTCGATGGAGCCGTCGCAACTCTGTCTCTGTTAGGAACACAGTTGCTCTCTCTCTCTTGTTTAGATGGAACCAAGGATGTCCCCATTTGCGAATTACAGGGATGTGTACGTCACCCTGGACTAGCTCATCTGTGGTGTTGTTAAAGTAGACCTTTAACCTGTCCATGTCTGCAAGGCACAATAAGAATGGTGTAGGTGCGTCAAGCACCTCAAAGTTGATCGTCCCAATGTCTGTAGAGACCTGTGCAGTGCCAATAGATGATGTAGCCTCGCCCTTGCCGAATTTGATAGATGCCTTTCCTGCTGTAGACGTATCCATCCTAACTGTGGGATCTTCCCTTGTGAGTGCAAGGTACTGCTCCTTGCCGACTGTGGATACGTTGGCAGCGCCTGTATCCGGTAGGATCCCTTGGTACACAGATCTTGTGTAGCGGTCTTCAAGCAGGAACTGTGACGCTGGCGCTGATGGCGCGTCTTAGCGGTATACGTCGTCGCCAGAGATGTGGTGCAAGAACGCCTAATCTGCAAGGCATTGCTCCGTAAAGAACTGGTGTTCAAAGTATTGCCGATCGCCAGTGTCGCCGTCATCGTCGTCATCCTCGCAGTCATCCTCCTCTCTCCAGCCTCTCTGATTGTACTGGCTAGTGTGCTCAATCCCTTCGTATTCTGCAAGATGTACGGAGAAGTCCTTAGGGGGCTGTGTACCTGTAAAGTATAGCGTAGAGAAGAACTGTGTACGGGCAGCCTTGCGCTCTTCGTCTGTGTGATCGGTAGACCAGCATCCTTCCTTCTGGCAAACAAAGCATTTCTTCCTCCAGCGTGGTTTGAATCCTCTTCCGTTGTCGTCGCGCTGCTCGCCTCCTCGATATGCTCCTCTGGATCCGCCTCTGAATCCTCCTCCACCTCGAGATCCCCCTCGGATTCTTCCATTGCCGTTGTATCGGCGATCTAAGTAGTATTGGTCCTCTGTGACCATCTGGGCAGTGTGTTGCCGTGCAAGGTGTGTCTCAACTGCAGAACGTAGGTCTGAGAAGAGTCCTTCACAGATTGTGGCTGGTTTGAACAGTGCCATCTCAAGCTCTGGTACTCCTCGGCAGGCATTGATGACAGTGGTACGTAGGGCATCCTCGCCCTCAAAGTTCTTGCCAAGGGCACGCTGGCATAGTTGCAGCTTGTCAAGCAGGATCTGCAGAACCTCGTGTAGTCCCTTGTCGGGGTTCTCTGTGCGGGTGCGAGCGAAGGTTGTAGTCGTCCAGTCTGTGTAGTAGTGCTGGTGATGGACGTCATGGTCGAAGTGGTTTTTGATTGCCATGTACGCATCAGCAAAGCTGTCATCTCTCTCTACAACCTGTATGTAGAACGTCTCTGCCCGCCCGGTAAGGATACGGGGAAACACTGCGTGAAACTGCTCTTCTTGGATATCTACCTGCCAGCAGATGCTGAAGAAGATCTTGATCGTATCGTCTAGGAGATCGTACGCATTCCCTGTATACTTGTTGCTATTGTCCCATAGCTTAGAGAACTGTGTGATCATATTGGCGTCGAGTCGATCGTTGCGGGACCATCGCGGCGGTAGCGTCTTGTACGGGTCATGTGGTAGGCCAAGGGGTCTGTCAGGTACTCGGTTTGTAGGTTGCTGAGGGAAAGGTGTCACCTCGCGGTACGCGGTCGCCGGCGGTCGTGTTTGCGTCTGCGGGTGCCAGTGCTGTGGCTGCGTAGTCTGCTCTCTTTGTCGTCGTGGCTGTTGTCCATCAAGGGTATTGCTCACGTAGAGTGGTCGTTGTAGTTCTTGGTATTGCGAGTGGCTTCGAACGCCTTGTCTCACTCCATACTGCTCGCCCTGTTGATCGCCTTGTTGCTCGCCCTGTGACGGACGTTGTGGCTGCGGCTGTAGCTGCGGCTGTAGCGGTTGCAGTGGTTGCGTCTGTTGCAGTGGCTGCTGCGCTTGTCTGTCCATAGGGGCTGCTAGGTGTGCGTTCTGCTGACGCTGGTACGCCTCAGAACGTTTTGTAACAGTACAAGCAGTGAGAGAAAGTTGCTATGCATTTCCTGATGTCTTGTTCTGTTCTGCTGTGGTGATGGCCTTTTATGGGGCCATCATACTAGTCTGTTTACATGACGTATCTGTGACATGGATAGGTGTAGAAGGTGCTTATCAGTAAGAGGAAGAACCATCTCGCCAACACGTGGCACCTAGGATGTCCTTACCCCATGAACCGTCACACACCCCCTCAGATGCGGTGTCACCCAAAGCTGATGCTCCATATCATGTTGAAGAGTAGTCGTGTCTTGACCTCTACCTAATACCAGTGGGTTAAGCTCTCCAGATCAGGGCTGTCTTGTCCGGCGTTTGGCAGGTATTCATTGACGTCCCTCAGACCAAGTTGTTTCAGAAACTCGACATGCTTCTGGCGTACAAGCATCTTGGTGAGTCCGTCGGCAGGCATAAGGTTAGTGGGCTTCCATTGGACTGATATACGTCCATCAGCTACCTCCTGCCTTAGCCAATGTTGGTGAACGTCCACATGACGCAGTCTGGTGAACAGCTTGTCTTCGTCCTTAGTGACAACTCCCACTGTCTGTAGGTTGTCGCAATAGATAGTTGGTATCATCTCGAGGTCAAACCTGATGTGCTTGAACAGTCGATTCCATGCCTGTAGCTCGCTAGCTGCTGTCGACAGAGCTAGCAGCTCCGCCTCTGTAGTTGATTTCGTGACTGAACGTTGGAGTGTCGCCTTCCAGTCAATAGGCATGCCGTACAGCATGAATAGATATCCCTGAGAGCTGCGCCTTGTCGGCAGGTCGTCGGCAAAGGCTGCATCAGAGGCACCATAGAACAGTGGCTCTGTTCCAGCACCCCCCAGGCTTGAGCCTGTATATATCGTGCGACTGCTCTGATCTCCATGAGCACCAATTGCCAAACGCTTCTGGCCGATCAAGTACTTCCACACATGGTATGCCGCGCTGACATGCTTTTGGCCTGGATTCTGCAGATATCGTGATAATTCTGAGTGGGCTTGCGCGACGTCAGGTCGAGTGTATGTCGCGATGTAGGCTAGTGATCCAACCAGTTCCTGGTACAGCTTCGTGCGCTTATTGTCTGGTTCCTCTGTGCTTAGGCCGATATTGCCATCTGCCAGTGGCACTGCTGGATATGTTGTACTTCTTTGAGTAATGTTGTATTTGGCAGCCACTTTGTCAATGAAGCTGTCTTGCATTAGCCAGATCTTTTTCTGGCTGCGGTCTCGGATAACGCGTATGCCGAGAAACCATTTCAATTCTCCCAGGAATCGCACGTCGTATGCAGCTCGCAGCTGTTGATCGAATTGGCGGTAGACGTCCTTATTCTTGGAAGCCACAGCCACGACTATATCGTCCACAAAGAAGAAGACAATCAAGGAATCATTGCTGAACAGACAGGGCACTCCTGGCACCTGCTGAAGGCCTAGCTTCTCAAGCGTAGCAGTAAGGTGCTTGTACCATAGTCGCGGTGCATCTCAAAGGCCATACAGAGCTCGTTTGAGCTCAAGAAGTTGACCAAGCTCGCTCTCATATCCTTCTGGACATCGTACGTAGGTAAGTCGATCGAGTTCGGCGTTAAGAAAGGCGTTCAGGACGTCGTACTGGTACAGCTCAAGGTCGAAAGCTGCTGACAGGGCGATCAAACATCGGAATATCTTTGCGGCTAATGTAGCTGCATATGTATCGCCGTAGTCTTGCTGTAGATCTCCCCTTACTACCAGTCTTGCCTTGAACTTGTAGAGATATCCATCCTCGTCGAACTTGTACGTGAATACCCACATAAGCGGTAGTATTTCGGCGTCTACAATCTCAGAGGCTCTCGCAGTTTTTCCGAAGCAGCTTCGCTGGGTGAAGCCATCAATCTCTTTGCGGCTTGCCTCCCTGAACTCTGCTCCAAATGGATGATGGTCCAAATCTTTCCACCTCTTTGGTACAGCCGGCAGCTGGTCGCGATGGAATCGGATCTTTGGCGCTTCGTTGAATAGCTTTGCTGGTGCTGTTGGGTTGATACAGGTTGCAAACGTCGCTAGGTACGTGCCGAGGTTGACCGGCTTCCGACTCCGTTTGCCCTTCAATATGAATTGCTCTGATACCTGGCTACTGATCTCTTCTCGTCGTCTCGCATTGTTGGATGTTCGATTCAACGCTTCTCCTTCCGGTGCTAGAGCGTATCCTCGTTCCCAGCCAGTGTCGTCCATCTCTTGATCTGTGAGTTGGCTCACTTCCTGTGATTCTGACGTCGCCTCTGGAGTTCTGAGATGCCTCATCGTCTCTTGTTGCTGACTGTCGTCTTGCTGGTTGGTTCGCCGTCGTGGTTGAACATGAATCGTATCGCTGATCGGGTCCTCTATCTCGTCCTCCATATCGTTCTCACTTCGGTGTGCATCTTGTTGTACATTCACATCTTCGGGCGAAGATAGTTGATCTGTTAATATGTTGCTGTAGTCAGGCGTATTCTCGATGTCAAGCACTTCAGCTACCTCCCGAATATAGCTCTTCTCTGCGTACTGGCCTTGGCCGTCACAGAGCTTGTCTCTCAAAAAAACAACGTCTCGGGTTCGTATAACTCGTCCGATTGTCGGCAACCAGATCCGAAATATGTTGGTAGAGTCGAAGCCTACCAGGTGGCCGATCAATGCTCTCGACTCCAGCTTGGCTCCGCGTAGTAGCTTCTCGTTGAGCACGTATGCTCTCGCTCCGATTACCTCAAGGTGAGCAACAGATGGCTTGACTCCCTTGACTTTGGTGTACGGACAGCTCCAGTTAATTGCTTCGACTGGCGTACGGTTGAGCAGATATATAGCTGTCATAGCACACTCGTTGGCGTACTCCTCAGGTAAGCCCGCGTGCAGGCGGACAGCCCTTGCTCGGATAACAATCGACTTCCCTGCGCGCTCGATGCCTCCGTTCTGTGCTTCTGTGGCTCGCGGCTCCAGTGCAATACCAAGATTTTTGCATATCTCGAGGAGCTCGACGTATCCAGCCTCCATGTCAAGCCGAATAACAATGACTTGGCTGTTATATTGGCGTTCAATCTTAGCCAGCAATCGCTTGAAGACTCGTGTCAGAGTTGCCTTCGTCTTGTCTGGCATGCAGCTTCCTTCATGCCACTTCGAATCTTGATCAACCATGTGAAACAGGTACTGGTCACCATTGTAGCAACGCTCGCCTCGCTCCAATAGCTGTATTAAGTCGATGCTAGTACGCTGAAATGGTCGAGTAGCTGGTTCTCGCGGTAGCCTCCGGCTGACAAGCTGCGTTAGTTTTGACTGTATACAGGTGTCACAGTCCTTCCACTTCGGCGCTTGTTCGCCGTCCACCAGTTCTAGTCCGTCTACGCTTCCTGGCAGATGGCCGATCGCCTGTCGGCCTGCGTGGCCCCACATAACATGAGCTTCTTCCAGTGTAAGCCGTAGCGGCTTCCGAGGCTCGTGCGAAGGCTTCTTGTAGGCGTGAGTCGAGGCTGCAAGCAGAGGGCCAGCGTCTGGTCTCTCCATGCCGTCAGCGTCTATCAGCCAATGACCTCCCACGTATTGAAGCTTGCTTATAACGTTGTTCCATCTCCGCTGGTATAGACAGTCTCGGCCTGAGTCGAAGTGTATGCCGATTGATCGACATCGAGAAAGACCGACGACGTTCGTGAGGAAGCCTGGTACGTACGCCACGTAGGTAAGTTCAATCTGCTCCGTGCCCGTGGGCGTGTTGATAAGCAGAATTACATCTCCCCACTCTCGTATCGCCAGCTCTTGGTTACCCGCTTTGACCACTTCACCTGTGCCGTCGGCTCGCTTCTTCCAGCCGTACGCTCTGGTGTTGGTCACATGAGTGTTCGATCCTGGATCGAGGATCCATCGGTTGATCAGACTTGGCTTGATTGTCTGCTTGTTTGTGCAGTCCGTGCTCATGGTGAGCTGTAGTACATGACTGCTAATGTTCCCTATGGTTGGACTCTGGTCGTCAAACTGACGCAGTGTCGAAACTGCTGTTAAGGCTGTTGTGCCTGTGTTAGCCTTCAGAGTCGCCTTGATAGCCCGTCCGATTGGTGACTGGCTCTCCATCAATTTGCCAAACTTTTCCTGGATCTCAGGCTTTGGCACCCAGCCTTGAGGTTTGCCCTTCCCTCCAAGGTACCAACAGTCCTTGAATCGATGCTTAAGACCGCACTTGCACTCAATTCTTCTGTCTTTGTTGTCGCTGTTCCTCTCTGTGTTCGCTACTCTTGTGTCTGAATTTTGGTCGATGCCCAACGTTGCGAAAGTTCCGAGTTGATGTTGATGTTGATTGTGGTTTAACGCCCTATCTGTAACCTCCCATAGGGTATTCGGGCGGGTCCCGCCGTGGTCTTATAGTGTTATCGCACTTGCCTCGTGGAACCTATTCCTAGGTGTTTTGTATCTAAGGGGAGTGATGTCCTGCCTATATACATGTTCGTGAAAAGGACTCCCGCCATTTGAAGCCGTTTTCCTACAATATTCTAGTATTTCGTGGCTTGCGCCTTTGATCGATGCAGTACAGTAACTGCTTTTTAGAGAGAGAAACGAAAAAGTAACAAGAGGCAATTTGAGATATAATAAAAGGTTTGAAAGAGAGCGTGTGGGTTGTGGCATCTATGCGGCGTTTTGCCGCGAATCCTACACTGAACAATGCCAAGGAATTCAGCGGGTCTTAGTGAAATTCAAAGATAGAAATCACTCGTCATGGAAGGAGTTCGTTACCTTCACGAAGGTCTCGAACTCTTGTGGCTGGTCTGTTAATTGCGCGAGGTACGCTAGGCCTTCCTGTCTTGTGCGAGGGGGCACGATGGGGCGTAGAGGCCACTGTCACTATCACGGGGCCAAACAGTAGTCGCAAGGTAAGAACGTAGTTGTAGTGTAAAGGTCTATGTACAAGAGCACGGGGAGGATACGTACCGTAGGGTAGCAGGCGCTAGGCCAAGATAGGGATGGGGGCACGTGACCTACAGAGCGCCGAGTTGGTGCTGTGACAAGTACTAATCCTTAGATTTCGAAGTTGAACACAATGAACCGTAAGGGCTCATTGTCTACTGTTATATACTAATGAATGTCCTATGTCCTATACGTCCTACTGTCAGATATGAGGTAGATTTTGGGTGGAAGGCAACGGAGTTGGAGATCATCACGTTACGTAGACCCCCTAGTCCCAAGAGGGACTAAGACAGGGCGACCTTCCGTCTCATCCCTCACGAGACTGCACCACACACCACAATACACACGTTCAACCACAATTATTATGATTCCCATCAGAACCCTGTTATCTGACACCTACGTTGTCCTACACTGTCCCATGCGTGGGACATCGCGGTACATCGTGGGATTCCTTGGGACACACGTGACATGTCCCATGGTGGCGTTCCGCCAAGCTTTGTGGGATGCGGGGCAGGCTTACGTCATTGGTCCTTGTACTCCTTGTACGCCTTCGCCTGGAAAGAGGTTCTGACAAGGCCTTCATCCTTCTGCCCTTCATATCTTGTGCTGTGTCCCCTCCTTAGGTTCGTAACAGATACCTACAGTCTCCCCCTAGCGCTCGGCTGTCGTCTACGCGTCTGCGATCCCAACGTGCCCAAGGATCTGCGCTTGTTTTGTAAACTGAATGGCTTTGGTGGCTAGCTGTTAAACCACGTTATCTAAAAGTGAGTATCGTGTCAGCTTAGCTAGTTATATATATCTCATTACTAAGAAAAATTCAATGTACTTCTAGTTCCTGTAGTCAGTGCTGTCGGTTCTGTCGGTTCTGTCGGTTCTGTCGGTTATGTCGGTTCTGTCGGTTCTGTCGGTTCTGTCGGTTCTGTCGGTTCTGTCGGTTCTGTCGGTTCTGTCGGTTCTGTCGGCTATGCCTGGGTTCGATTTGATTAATCAGTTTTATCCTATTCGGTTTCAGCCACATTTTCTCCGTAGCTACCGTGTCTATACGCTTAATGCGTGGATTCAGTCAATGCGCCGAACTACCCTAACGCGCACCCAGAGTTGCTATCAGTCAGTTCAGTCAGTCCGGAGCTCTCTGGACTGACTGAACTGACGTCCTGAGGTCACTGAACTGGACTGGACTGACTGCCAAGACTTTTCAATTAAACTAAAACTGACTGACTGAACTGACGTCGCCGCGGCCTGCGGACTGACTGGACTGACTGAACTGAGTTACCTGACGTCGAACTGAGATAAATGCTCCTATACTTTTGAGATTTCTTCCTCTGATAGTGTGCGCGCTAGCCCAGAAGCTGAGGTAGTTGTTGGCTGTATACCTGTCAGATTAGATAAGATATTGCACAAAAGTGATGGATGTTCATGATTGATTGTTCTTGTGTCTATTCTAAGGTACGCGCTGAGAGTTTTGTTCTGCTAAGACGCTAACCCGTTATTAGCTAGCGGTGTCGGCACTTTCGGCTCGACACGCCTGCTATCTGACAAAAATACATGGGTATTGTTACCATTTCAAGCTAACGTTACCACCGTAGCTATTTTACAACAATCAATCCCCACTACGCACAACCTAATACCGATACTCTGCCTACAGTGCAATTAAATACTAGTGTCAGATATGAGGTAGTATTTGGTAGAAGGGAGCGGAGTTGAAGATAGCACGTTCCATAGACCCCCTAGTCCCAAGAAGGACTAGGACAGGGCAGACTTCCGCCTCATCCCTCGCAGGACTGCAACACACAACAATCATCATCATTTTTTCATCAGAACCCCTGTTATCTGACAACTAGACATCTCTACGATAATTATTAGCTGTCACGAGAGACTACGTCGCAGTCGAACACAGACAGAAGATAGTCTTTACAGTTCTTTATTGATCGTAGTTACTATCTAGTGTAGATACAAGCACTGTTGAAGATGAGAGCGTACAGACGCTGGGTTAGACTAACGCGACCCGGCATCCGTGAGAGCCAATCGGATCACAGAAAGGCTTGGCACCCCCTAGGTGTGCCCACCACAGTCCGCAACAATCAATTAAGTGGGTCCTAGAAGGTTCAGATTGGATTGATTGATTACCGCTTTAAGCCTAGTAGTTACCTATAGGAGTTTAAGCCCTACCTAGATAGGTAAGTGGGTCTAGGAGAGTGACCGGATTGAATTGATTGTTGCGGAGTCTAGTGCCCACAACCGTAGACAGAACCAAGACACAATCAATCATCAAAATCATCACCATCATTACCTATTTCATCAGTATTCCAGATGAGAGTGAATATCTGACAAGATGTCAGATTTTTATGGATGGGATCAAGTGTCTATTGTCTGTCTCTGTCTACGGCTCTGTCTGTGGGAGGTGGCCTCGCCTCGGGCTTGGCAGTGCTAAGTCCCGGCGCTAGCCCTGGTTTGGGGGTCTCATGTCCTTCCCCAACCACCATCGGCTCGATCATGGAGCAAAACCTCGCCTCAATCTGACACAAGAACAGGTTCAAGTTGCGGTGAGCAGATATAAGCGGGGCCTGTGCGCTTAGCGCGGGGTCTTAGCTGCTCTTAGCCACAGTCCGCAACAAACAAATCAAATATGCCTCTTATAAAGACCCACTTACCTATGTAGGTAGGGGTTAAACCTCTACGGGTAATTACTAGGCCTAAATAGGTAATCAATCAAATCAAATATGGCCTCTCTGGACCCACTTAATTGATTGTTGCGGAGTCTGCTCTTAGCTAATCAACAGATGCCGGGTGCTTACAGGAGCACCTAGTGTTGTCAGATAATATGGGTTCTGATGAGAGTGATGATGATTTTTGGTTCAACGTGTGTATTGTCGTGTGTGGTGCAGTCTCGTGAGGGATGAGACGGAAGGTCGCCCTGTCCTAGTCCCTCTTGGGACTAGGGGGTCTACGTAACGTGATGATCTCCTGTCAGATTAGATAAGATATTGCACAAAAGTGATGGATGTTTATGATTTATTTGTTGTTGTCTCTGTTCTAAGGTGCGCGCTGAGAGTTTTGTTCTGCTAAGACGCTAACCCGTTATTAGCTAGCGGTGTCGGCACTTTCGGCTCGACACGCCTGCTATCTGACATCTCCAACTCCGTTGCCTTCCACCCAAAATCTACCTCATATCTGACAAGTGTCTATGGCCGTTCAGGTGTCAGGGAATCAGGGTGATTAACGTTACCGTGACATTAGCGCTATTAGCGATACATACAACCTCAATGCGCTCTGCTAGATCTAGCTTTTCTATCAGCTGGGTCGGCTAGGTCGGCTAGGTCGGCTAGGTCGGCTGGGTCGGCTGGGTCGGCTGGGTCAATCCCTTATAGCTTTATATGATGAACATTCTTTTATTACTGCGGGGATAGGTATAAAAGGCAGTAACTGTGGCAAGCGTTTAAATATATGGTCGATATTCACTACTACTATGGCGACCCGCTTTATTCTGCCAATCGCATTGCTTGCAGCGAGTTTTGCAACAGCTACTCCTACTATCCAAAGGAACCCATACAACTTTGTTTTGAGCGATCCCGTCGGCCATACCATCTTCAATCTCGGGCATGTTTCGTACCTAGCAGATACAAAGCACCCAAAAGCAAGTGCGCGCTGTACTACAATCACGTCTGACCAATCAACTTCGATCCCCATTGCCTTGATCAAGACGAATGCGACACTCATCACGAAAGATACATTACAAACCATCATCTCCACGTACCTCGAAGACGATGACGTATTTAACTATGACTTCCTAAGCGGGTTGTACATTTCGTCGCAGGTGCAATCGTCCCTTGACGCCTCTGCTATCGAATACATTTCCTCCTTTAACAGCACCTGGCTCTTCCTGGATCGCTTAATGACTGCAAACGCGACTATTAACAAAGTAGCGCTGGAATCTTCCGTCAACCTGCCAGCAGGACCTTACCTCGCCTCTGTCGACGGGAGCTTAGTAAGCTTTGCCACCGTTTATCGCTTATACCCCGATACGTACAAGACGTTTCTGTTCGGGGCATATAGCGCCAATGACGGCGAAAATACACACCACCCTGTTAGCATGTTCTCGCCCAAATTCCAAGATCCGTTTATACCGTTAGTTGTCCAGTGCTTAATCGTGTCGTTATTAAATGCAGAACCCTTTACTAAAAGCTTTCCACAGTGTTCCCTCTAGAATCTACTCATGGGACGACCCTCGTCCCCTTGCTGGGTCCCGCGTAGCCATCAAAGATCTCTACGACATTAAAGGGCTACAAACAAGCGCGGGCAGCCATGCATGGTCGGTCATTACACCCGTTGCAAATGACACCGCACCTTCTGTGCAACAGATTCTTAATCTAGGGGGCGTAGTGGTTGGAAAGCAGAAACTAGCTCAATTTGCGTCTGGGGCGAATCCGTGGGAGTGGCAAGATGAGCAGTACCCGTTCAACCCTAGAGGCGATGGATGGTTGACTTGCTCTGCTTCGTCGTCTGGAGGCGGATGCGCGGTCGCGGCGTATGAATGGTTGGATTATGCTGTGGGCAGTGATACAGATTCTTCTATGCGAATACCGGCTGCAGTGGCTGGCGTGTATGGGTATGTTTTTTATGCCCCGATATTATGCTTTCATTTGGCCCTATTATCGAAACTAAAAGGCACACAATAGTCAACGTCCAAGCCAAGGTCTTATGTCCCTCGAACGCGTTATTCCTCTTGGCGCTGCAACAGACACGGCAGGTGTCTTCAGTCGCGATCCTCACAAATGGGTTAAATTTGCCAAAGCATGGTATGCTCCTCATTTGTACCAAGATACATCCATTACCGGTCTCTCCCCCCTCGTTGTGCCGGACACGGATGCATTTCCAAAAACAATCATCTATCCCACCGACTACTTGCCGCTGAATAACCCGGCCGCTGAACCGATCCTGGAAAGTTTTATTAAAGAAATGGCACGCGTGTTCGATATGCGTGTCAAGAAGATAAATTTTACTGCTACTGTCCAAAACGCCACGGATCCGATTGGGAGTAATTTTACCATCATGATCATAGCAACAAGCATAATTAACGCATGGACTTCATGGCTGGTTGTCGGCAAGCCCTTGATTACAGCCTGGAAAGACATGTTCGAGGGCCGTTTCCCACCAATTGAGCCTGCACGACGACTCGGATGGATAGGCTTTAATGAGAGCGTGACGAACCAAGCGAACTATGATGCAGCTCTTGAGATCAAGAGACAGGCAGTGGCGTGGTACGAGGGCGAGTTCCAGTATAGCACACCTGAGTCATGCTCCGAGTCGGTCATGCTGTATGATATCGGTACGGGTGGGCTGCCTTCCTTCCGCGAGCGCTTGCTTAACGAATCGCCGGACGCATCCTATATGGCTGTTCGGCCAGAGGGCGCTGCCGTGAGGGGAGCGACTATCTGTCCCATTTTTGGGTGTGCGGATTTCACGGTTCCCATTGGACAAGTGCCATACCAGAGCAATGTCACGTTTCATGAAGAAATGGTGCCGGTCACGATCAACATGGTAGTGAAGAGGGGCTGTGATTTTGTCCTGTACAATATGATTGAGAAGCTAGCTGATGAGGGTGTACTGAAGACGGTCAAGACGGGGAAGACGGCATATTGACAAATTAGATCCATCTGTCACGGTTTGGGGTCTCTCCTGCTCTGCTCCTGTATTTTAGTCGCAACTTACCTTTGTAATGGAACGATGCCTATCTGGGACTAGCGCTGTTTACGGTCATCCACCTAAATTTACTCGTATGCAATCGCGTTGGCACCTTCTAGATAGCAAAGGAGAGGACGTTGTTCTGTTACAGCTGTTATTCCGTCACGAGTGAATGGTCGTTATGTCAGCCAACACAGTTGGGTGTCCGTGTGTCAGCCCGATACTCTTATCAGATCTTCTAGTATCTTCTACAACCTTCACCACTCTACTATCTACGTCATGTACTCATGTATATCTTATGTATATAAGCACACATCTCTACTCAGTAGAATAATC